GCTCACCACCTTCTGCAGAGACTGCTAAAGCAGAGACTGCAGCCAGCTAGGCGGTGCATTCTAGTCTATGATAGCTATAGAGATAGTGTCTGTTAGGTCTGGGGATGTGTCTGCACATGTCTCCCCAAACTTCAAATGTAGGACGAAAACAAGAATCCTATTAAACTTCACATATCTGCCAAACAAAATTTGTTTTTTTTTAACTTTTATTTTTTTAGTTTTTTTTTTAACTTGTAAATGAAAATTGAAGGCTTTTTTCGGAGAGGACATGTAAAGTCAGGGCCACCATCAGAGCCTGAGCCTACAGGAAGAATGCACAGAAATAACAATGTCCTCTGTTCCTGTCTTCCTTTGAGTTAAGTCCCTCTCCAGTCTCTCACAATAGCAGGCAGGGTCCCATGCTGACAGGCAGCAGCCAGACCCATAACAGGCTCCTGTTGTCCAGCATCCGGGGCTGCATGAGGCGTCTGAGAGCTTTGAGGAACTGCAGCTGTGAACAGAATCTCCCCAGAAAAGGACACGGTGTGCTGTCCCTTGGGAGGTGTTAGAGATTGGTTCTAGGGTACCATCTCCTGTCCTCTGCCGCCACACAGCAGCCGGGTGCCCAAGTCCCTCCTATAAACAGATATTTCTGTATAACTTTCACATGGCCTACTGTATACTTCAATTATCTCCCTATTATTTAACAGTACCTAATAATACAATGCCATATGGCTAGTGATTGCATTGCATTTTTAGAGAATAGCAAACTACGACAAGATAAAGTTTCTATATATTCACTACAGGGTGGTTTTGTCCGAATATGTTGTCTCTTTTGACTGCGCTCTGGGATATGGGGCTCAGGTTGGAAGGACACTAGTACGTGTGCAAATCATACCTTGTTGGGGACAAAGGGTTGGGGCCAGTGGGATGCTAAGTAGCAGTTGACTCAGAGACCTTGTCTCTGAGCCATTGGGTTATCTGTAGTGCACAAGGAGGGTAAACCGAGGGACGTCACCATGGGCCTTTGGGTCCCCTCAGAGCAGCTTAGTTGGCACACTGTAGACTCTGAAGCTGAAAGGGACTTTATTTGCTCTTTCTCCCCACTCCCCATGTTGGAAGTTTACTTGGGAAAGAGAATGCATTGACTTGCCACTGTCTTCTAGAAGTCTCTGTCTACTTAAGAAAGACAACATTTGTAGGCTGCACATCACGGTGGAGGACATCAGGTGATGGGACTTAATGGGAGTTCAGTGGTTGAGACTTGCAATCTGACATCAGGAAATCTGGTCCAAATCTTTGTATGCAAAGCACTTGGTATAATGTCAGGCATAATCACGTGCTAAATAATGGGTACCTGCTGCTGGAGCTGCCTGAAGTACGCAGATGCAATGGACAGTCTTCCTTCCATGGTGAAAACCACTGGACTCCTGCAGAAGCATCTTTGTGAAGACGAATGGCTACCCTCCTTCAGATGCTGGGTACTGATGTGTAAATTTCGGAGGCGCTCCTTGTCTTCTGGCAGAGGTGACTCACATCCACACATGGCCCCCGGTGGCAGGAAGAATTTACCAAGTCCCATGCTGGAGCATCTACTGCATTGTACCTGAGGAGCCTGTGATTGTGAACAACAGTGACAGACTTGTGTGTGTGCTGGCGCTGTGGGGTCACCTGAGGTTGCAAACACTTCCTTACCCGATAAGCTTTGTTCTGTTAGGATTGTCTGATCAGAGTTTTTCTTGTGTTGTAAATATGGAGGTGCGCGGAGAAGTTCTTAACGCTAAAAATGAAGTTTTGAATAAATACTATCTATCCTCAAACAAAGGCAGCAGGAGGTAGGATGCTAAACTAGGGGATTGAAAGTGATAGGAGGCAAGTTACTGTGGCGAAGTCCCAGAAAGAGACTTGGGATGTGTATAGCGGTTCAAGAAGGATGTTTTGGTATTGTAGAGAAAAACAAGATGAAGTGGAACATTCTAAAGTCAGATCACCAGAAAACAGCTCAACATTCAATGTGAAGAGTTTTGCTTATTTCCTCTTGTAGACTTGGAAAGAATATAATACCATTCCTGCACATTGCAGAGAATCATAACAGGTAGCTTTGCAACCTTCTGAGGGAGAAAAGACCTTGGAATTGATGCTAATACAAGGTGGATGTGTCTGAGGGGCAGAGTCACTGGTGGGCTTATGTCCGTGGGCCCAGGTCCGCCTTGTCTAAACAGCAGGAAGTGATTTAAGTGTAAAATTTTAGTGCTAAAGTAGAGAAATGAAGATGTTAAAAGCAGACGTTTGGTTCTAAGTTTGGTTCTAAGTTTCTCGAGAGTCCATTTGTAGCTTTCCTTTTAGCTCCTCGCTTGATGTCTTTCTCTGAAAGACTGGAAGAGCTGCTCCGAGTACCAGCTGTGGTGATACTGGAGGTGGTGGAAAATGAGCGCTGTCTTGTGAAAGTGGCTGAGCAGCCTAATAGAGGCCTGGATTCATTTGCGTTGTTTATGTCTCGTGTCACAAATGCAGATTGGACCCATCTATTCTGAGTCCCGCGTGCCTGGTGCTGCACTGGATGCTGCACTGTGTTAAGAGGTCTCCCAATGCACGAGCATCAGTTCCCAGCATCGACCTCAGCTCTCAGAGCTGGTGAGGTCCCAAAGCCCAGACAGTGCCGTCTCTAGGGAATAGCTACGTTTGCTAACAGCAGTGATATGGAGGGCGGTTCAGCTGTCCGGATGCCGGTCCCCCAAAGAATTTATTAAGGCAGTGGTCAATAGCTGGAATCGTTGAGCCTTCATATGTATAAGTGGGAGGTGGCAGGGTCTAAAAAATTCATGCGCATCTCTAGTGCCCTTATTTTTCTGAAATATTCTTTTGGTGTTGTGATTTTTGTTTTCAGTACTTCCACAGTGAGGACACTGTTGTCCTAACTGTGGGATGATTTCCAAGTTGGTCTTTTTTTGCTTTGACTACACAAAAGAATGACCTGGGAGCTTTAAAATATAAACCAAAGAAAACAAAACAATTTGAAAGCACAAACCCAGCTAATGTCTGGCCCCAGGTCTTGGTTGAGAACTGAAGTTAGGGGTGTGGTAGAGCCACAACGGGCTGACTGTGGATTGGCAAGCTCCCACACCTCCTGCTAGGTAGCCTTCTCCAGACATCTGACCCTCCAGTGGAGAGGGAGGTGCCTGAGCTGTCAGCACGTGTGCATGCTGTCTGTGCAGCATGCTTGGAAAGCCACCACCCACGCAGTGCCAGTCCCGGGTTGCAGGGGGCTAACTTTCCAGTACTTGGTGTGCTTTGGACTTCCTGGCCTGATGACATCCCAGAGACATCTGCCATGTTTGTGGAAGTCAAGCATAGATAAGTTAGGGACTTTATAAAGTGTGGTCATGGTGCTGTTCCCTTTGACTGGGATTATGCTTACCACTGTCCCTCCATCGCTGCTCTCATGTTGGTGTCCACCTCACTGCTCCTGTCCCCGTATGCCACAACCTTTTTAACTTGAACAGTGACGATGGCGGTACAGCGGCTGGGCCAGCAGTCTGATTCTCAAGACACACCTGCACAGTCTCCTCTTTGCCAGTGCCACGTGGACCCAGATCCCGTGGAAAGAGACTGTTAGTAGGGTGCCAGGCACAATAGCAGATGAGATTGTCACTGGCAAATACTTGGCTACAGCAACTTAAATAATTTCTTATTCTGTTTATACATGAGGGGGGAGTGTGACACTATAAAGCAAATACAGTGTTAAATAAGCTTATTTTTATTGGTATATAATAATTTTTAGGTGAGAATTTCTAGGGTTTTTAATTAAAACCCTTTCACTATCAGTCAGTTTTTCTGACACACACACACACACACATGCGCATCATATGCTTGATTCTGTTCAAATGAGTAAGTAATTAATTGCAATACCTTTTCTTGTGAGTTTATATTTGTGTTCTATTTTCTCTGTTTTTTTGAGACAAGGTTTCTCTGTGTAGCTTGGAGCCTATCCTGAAACTCACTCTGTAGACCAGGCTGGCCTCGAACTCACAGAGATCCGCCTGCCTCTGCCTCCTGAGTCTGGGACTAAAGGCGTGCGCCACCACCACCTGGCTACGTTTGTGGTTTTTTAATAGTAGGTGCTTGTTTCTTGTCTCCACTGGAGGAATGTGTCAGTCCTCTGCAGGTACAGTGTCTTGTCAGGCTGATGCCTCTAAATTTTTATTTCATGGCCTCATTGAAGGCCAGAGTCACTTAGGCTGAGGGGAGCCTTTCACCTCAGGTCTTGGTGGCCAGGGGACATCTGTGATGAATCACTGCAGTGTGATGTGCTTCTCTGTGTGGCACACATATTACTTTTTTCCAAACAAATTGCTAGGCAAAGAAGCAGCGCATTTTAATTAATGTTATCATTCCTGATATGTGAATGGCGCTGCAGATAAATCATGGTGGCGATGTTCTGGGCCAGAAATAGGAGAGAAAAGTATTAAGAGGGTTGGAACATATTAAATGAATTGATGAAATCTATAAAACATTAAATAAGAAAATTATGAAGGCTGTAAATCAGAATCCAGACAGGTGATTTCATAGACACAGGCTATTTTTTTAAACCTATAAAAATGTTTGTAAATGGATGTTTCTGTTTATGTTGTTGGGAAAAAATTAGTCTGACGGTTTGGCATAAGAATAACTGTCTTTGAAACCTAAGGGGTTCTGGATGCCTTTATACTGATCCCGGCTCCTTTCCTTGTGCACGAAGAGCCATGATTGTCTGCCCCATGGTGGAAACCATTGTATTTGTTTACTTTAAGAAGAAGTTATTTGAAATATAATCATCTAGTGCTGTTTTAATTTTAGTGAGATGCTTTATTTTGAAATCTTGTGTTAAAAGCTTTTTTTTTTTTAATGTTAAATTCAGAGGACTGGATTTTGGCTCTGGTCTGTCATGAATGAACCCCAAATCTAGTGTGAGCGGGTTCTGGTTTGCTGTAACAATACATGTTTCACTCACGGACACCCACTGTGCTTATCCCCAATGGCAGATATTTCGGACCTCGCCTGATGCTGCCCTCTCTGAGCCCACGTGCCTGTCGGCATCACCTCCAAATGCTCCACCGAGACAGTCAAAGAGACAGGGGCAGAGGACCAAGAGGCCGGTGGCTGTGTATAATCTTTGTCTTGAGCTGGAAGACGGTAAGATGCGGATTGTTCTGCTGGTGGCGTGCTGAGGGCACAGCCTGTCACCCACCCTCGGTGCAGGCCCCAATGTTTCAGTCTCTTGTGCTCTTATTCCTGTCTCCCCTAAATTGTAATGTTTTAGATTAGCGAGGAGGTTGACGTTTTCTGGTCAGAGAGAAAAAAATGCAAGTTTTTGTTTTGTGTTTGTTTCTGTTATGCACAGTTCTTTTTTTGTTTTAAGGCAGCTTAAATTTCTTTTTTGGGAGACTTGTGTGACCTCCTGTGAGGTTACATAACCCCGAGACACATGGAACTAAAATTAAAGCAGATCTTTGATGCGAGTGAGGAGCTGGTGGAGCCAATCCCCTGCTAATGCATCTGGATTAAAGGCACAGGTTACTGTTGTGGGGCATGGGCTTCTGCGCCCTGGTGAACCCGGTGGACCGAAGCCCTCAAAGAGCGAGTCCTCAGTCACCGCCACAGCCGTGGCGGCCAGGTGGCCTGCCTTTGAAGTAAGGCTGCACAAACTGGGGCCAGTGGTTGGGGCAGATGGTGATTCTCATGCCCCGTCCAAACACTGTCGTTGCCAACTGGCTCTCACCTCATAACCTTGTGTGAACTTTTAGGTCAGAGCCGAGACTGTGAGCTCCACAAGGGCTGGTTGGTGATTTGTAGTCACGTGGTTCTCGCGAGGAAAACTTGATGATGTAGTGTATGGTGTCCAAGCTCCACAAGGGCTGGTTGGTGATTTGTAGTCACGTGGTTCTCGCGAGGAAAACAAGGTGATGTGATGTCCAAGCTGCATTTTTGCCGGCGCGTTTCCTCCTGTTGAGTAACTTTTCCAAATTTAAGGTTATTCTTGACTTCTTTTGCCGCAAACCCTTAGGTCTTTGTTGTTGTTATGTTGACGGGGACCAAATTATAATACCTTCATCATGAACACACATTCAAGAGAAAAGTGTCTGTTGGTTCATGCAGGGAAGTGGCAACTGTCCTCAAGTGACTGGAGGTGCGTGCAGAAAGACCCACAATACTCGGGTAACAAAACTAGGGTGTGTTGTTCTTGTTTCTTTCTGAATTGCTTGCTATGTGCACACGTGTCAGAAATGAGGTCCGATATTATTTTCCTGTTTCCCAGAGAAAATCATGAGTCAAGAATATCAGTTTCTGATTGGAGTGTGTGTGTGTGTGTGTGTGTGTGTGTGTGTGTGTGTTTAGGTCAGAGATCTCTACAGCCTCTCTTTTGGGGAGGCTCTTGTTGAACTCGGGACTCACTGATTGGTTCTGCCCAGTGCTAGGGTTACAGGCCTATGTGAGCACGCTCAGCTTGGTGACGTGGAAGGCACACTCCAGTCCCCCCTCCTGGCTTGCTCAGCAGGTATTTTACTGATGGAGCCATCTCTCCAGCTCCCAGAACTTCTCTTCAGACTTCTTTCCACTTGTGATCCCAGCTAACTTCTTTCTCTTCTCACTTTCTCTGTCAGCGGAGCTGCTAATAAGGAGTAAAACTGCCTGGTTTGAGTCTCACCTTCTCCCCCAGCTCACCTGTCCTCTGCTAGAAGTGTTAATAAACAGTGAAACAAGCAAATGCCAGAAAGTAGGAGGGGAGAAAGAAATACACACAAGACGACTAGATGTCTAAAGGCCTGCAAGGGAACCAGAGCTGTTTGACGGTAGAGGTGATCAAAGTTGGGCGTTCGTCTGGAAATCACAGCTACGTTCTGTTAGTCTTAGGAATAAAACTGGACCTTAACAAATCTATGGAGGTGCTACCTTTCTGTGCAAAGTTTCTAAATGATCATTAGTGACTGAGAAGTGTCTCATAGCAGTATTCTCATTTTTGATGGAAAACTCAAGACAGCACATGGATTATATTGCTCATAAGCTTTAGGAAATATTTTCGTCCTCAGTGTCAGGCAAGTGCTCTGCCATCGAACCGTGATCACTCCTGATGTTATACTTCTTAAATGTTTCTTAATTTTGAGGGGAAATATCAGTTATGCATTTCCTTTATATGTTTGTTGCTTCATGTTTAATTGCACGTTATTTTACTTTTTTTTTTTTAATTTATAACTGTTCTTTCTTTTCGGTTATAACCTTGACTTTCCTTTTTAAACCAACCAACCTTTCTTCCTTCCTTCCTTTATTGAAAATAGATTTTTTTTTAATGTAATATATTCTCATTTCAGGTTCCTTTTCTCTAAACGCCTCCCAGACCCTCCCCACTTCACATCCACCCAAATCCACACCCTTTCTTTCTCGCTCTCATTAGAATACAAACAGGTCTCTAAAAAATAATAATACTAAAATAAAATAAGATGAAATAAAACCAAACAAACCAGAATAGGACAAAATGTGGGAAGAAAGAGCCAAAGATAGTACAAAAAATACACAGAAAACTAATAAAAACAAAATTGTAAACCATAACATATAAGCCCAAGCTGTGAGGTTACAAACAAACAAACAGCACTGTGAAACAAAACCCACTCCCAAAACAGCATTGTGTTGGCCATCTCCTGCTGGGCTTGGCGCTGTGGAGGGAGCGCTTGGGAGGGGGAGAGGGTGGTGTATGGTGAGAGCGGGATGCAGTCGGGACTCATCTTACTGCTGTGCTCCTTAGCAGAACAATATTTGGGTTTTCCTAGGTCCATGGTCTGTCTAGTCTCAGGCCAACCTTGATTTTTTGTTCTTTTGTTTTAAATTAAGCATGCATTTTGAGTGCGCACCCATGCCCCATATGTGTACAGCGCCCATGGAGGCTAGAAGAGGGCATTGGGTCCCCTGGCGCTGGGGTTACAGATACTGTGAGCTGCCATGTGTGTCCTGGGGACTGAACCTGCATCCTCTGAAAGCCACTGAGCCACATTTTCTTTACCCATGCTTTGGTTGAGGGGCATCTGGGTTGTTTCCAGGTTCTGGCTATTATGAACAATGCTGCTATGAATATAGTTGAGCAAACGTCCTTGTGGTATGAGTAGGTATCCTTTTGGTATATACTTAAAAGTGATATTGTTGGGTCTTGAGGTACATTGATTCCCAGTTTTCTGAGAATCCACCGTCCTGATTTCCAAAGCAGCTATACAAGATTGCAGTATTATATGTTCTGAAATGCTTGCCTTACAGAGTGCTCACTGTTCACTTTCCCATGGCCATTAGTAATCACTTGAACTTCTAAACTGCATCAGTTTGGCTGAGTCTGTTAATGAAGTAGTGGAGTCTGAAGCAGGCTGCTCCGTGCTTTGCTCCACGCTTCTCTCTGTGTTTGCTTCGATTTCACTCTCGTTATCCCATATTTTTGTTTCCTTAGAACTAGTAGTAAATTAACTAAGGCCCCATGGGGCACGGTTCACATTCTCCAGCTCCTCTGGGTTCGTGTCCATGTTCCCTCCTTATGAAGAGGGCTGCTGGGTTTTCTGTAATTTCCTCTAACGTGGAGGGAAGTTTGTGGGCCTGCTAGAGATGACAGTGACCTCTTTTATTTTCCTCTCAAGGCAGGAAAAAAAACAGAAGTGGTGGTTTGAAGAATGAGCAGAGGCTCGCCGTCTGAGTCCTGACTGAACTCTTCCTCCCTTCACACAGCTTTAATTTTAAACAGAACTAGACGCTTATGAGACTAGTTGTGATGTGCATCTTCCTGAGTATAATTAGATATTCTGTGCCTGTCTTCTGTGCATGGTATAGCAGTTTACTTCTTTAGGCAAGTTAAAAATATGATTTAATGCGGGTTGAAGATAGCATCACCTGGCAAGCCAATCGGCAGGATATAATATTCTCTATTGTTGTCTTCCTTGGGTACCATTGGCTTGGCACCTGTCACATTTGGATGAGATGCGTGTTAGCTGTGGCACATGTTGTTGAACATGTGTTACTGTGGTCCTGCAGCAGGGTGGAAGGAGCAAAGGGGATGAGCGTACACTGTTGAGGGAGAGGCAGATAGAATGGGAGGCCGTGTCGAGGTCCCTTCAGCCTCCACTCGGTGTCACATGCCAGCAATGGACACTTAAAGTGATGATGGGTGTGAATTTATCCACCTTCAGTAGATTAATTTATTTTGATTAGGAGGTATAAGCAAGGAAAGCAAAGATGTGAGAGTACGTCTCTGTGTGGTCTTCTAAGTGTAGAATTTGCAGGGTGAACTCAGCCTTAAACATGGTTGGCAAATATTCTGTAATATCCTAGTATATGTAAAGTTTTTTAAATCCTAAAATAGTGAACCTTGATAACGGTTGAGTTTTCTGCCATTGCCCTTCGTTGGGGATTAATGGCAATGAATGCTAGAATTGGAATTATGCCACACTGCTGACGAAGAACTTCTATAGAGTCTTTGTCGTGCGTGTTTCCTACACGCCAGGCTGACTTCTCAGTTTGCACAGTTAAGGTACTGGTTTATCTACCGCTGAGTATGACTGCATGGTTGCTGGCTTACGTTACATGGTAGCGACTTCTCAGAGCGGCCTCACTATTCCTCCTAAGTAGTGATCTTCGAGCCAGGGCTCTTCCAGCAGTTGTCAGCAGAGAGAGGAGTGTGCCCCTGGAAGGCCGTGGAGGGAGAAGTGTCAAGAACCAAAGTGCTGCGTGTTCGCAGAGGAGGAGTAGTCTCCGTGCTCACAAAGAAGACAAAACTCTTTTTTTCTGAGTGCATTTTAAAGTTTTAATTAAAGTAGAATTAATTATCTTACCCCTTGTATATATTCCCCTCCTCCCAGATTCATGGGGCCCTCTACCATTTAAGCATATTGTTCTGTATACATACGAGTGAATAAATATGAAAGAGTGACCTAGTAAGGCCGTTCAGAGTTGCCTGCATGTGTGTTTCTGAGGCCAGCCCCTTGGCACTGGATCACAGTCGGGGTGGGGGGGGGAGGAGTTTGTCACTAGAGAAGAGTGAGCCTCCCTTTCTCAGCAGTAGTGCATGTCGGGGTGAGGCCCCCTGGGATTTCCTCCACCTGTATTGTCTTGTCGGCCGGGACTGAACAGAACTCATTTTACTCTGCCTTTTACATGTCCACTTTGAT